GTTATTTGCTAAAACTCATACGAAGAATAAATTCTTACGAGAGTAAAGCATTCACCCCAACTAATTTGGATCGAAGCTCGTGTCTGGAGCTTATGTTATGCACATGTATGTGATGTGTGTGAGGAGGAACATACCTACCTTTGACTCAAAATGAAAAAGAAAAAACTCGACAAAAACTTGGACAGAGCTGAAAGCAAAAAGATAAAATGTTAGTATGATAATTAAAAATGAAGCAATTAAAAACTTCAATAAGCGGATCATAAATTAACTAAAACTAGAAATCATCATTTCCACCAAGATGACAATATGTAAACGACATACAGCCTGACTCTCTAAAAAAAGTCCCCAGCAGAGTCGCCAAGCTGTCATAACCATTTTTAGGTGGAACAATTAAATATTATTTTAAAAAACGATTATGACTCTAATTTGGAAAAATTGGGGAATTTGGAATTAATTTGGAATAAATTGAATAGAGTCGCCATCGACCTTTGGGTTAGGTAGGTCGAATACCTAAAAACGTCTTTTAAAACAATTTTAAGAAAAAATCATTTTTTAGACAAAATTCGGTATGCGTTACCAAAGATTCATTTAAATGGATTCGGAAGTCGGTTACGCGTGGGGAAGGATTAGCACCTCACAGCGCCCAAAATTGGTACTGTGTCGCTTACACATTGTCAAAATGGTGGAAATTACAAATCGAATATAAAGTTAATTTATGATCCATTTATCGAACATTAATTAATTTGCTTCGAATTATTTAATTAGAGAAAATTCTTTAACTCGAAAGGAAATCTTGAAATTAGCAACCCTCCATCGGGACAACTAACTCGAACTATTCTCATTCGTAAAGAATATTCTACCATTGATTATGTTAAAAATACAAATCGAATATAATTAAAAACAATGTTTACATACGAATAAATTGATTAACTGAAAACGTGAATTGAATACAAATTAAAAATTTTGAAATTTACATTCACATAAAATAAAGTAAATTGTCATTTAAAATAACACACATTGCATTGTTTGAATAAATTAATTAGTAAAATATACTCGACTTATTGCAAGTTCCTATGTCGTTAAAATGCCGTATCGGATCGTACCACTTCGACCAAATGGTACTTTCCACGCCCATTCTACGCATACGTGTTCTTGAAAATATAATCGAATATTTCTTACATAGATAAAGATATAATGAAAATAAATGTAATTGGAAATACAAAATAAAATATTTACATTAAATGAAATTGAAAACATTATTTACATAATCAAAATAATTAACTAATGAGTAAAACACATCCATACATAAATGTCTAAAAATAAATTAGTAAATATTACAAACCAAAATAAATATAAAACATTTAAGGGGCTAAAATAATAGAAACAGAAACTTAGGGGGCTAAACAGCAAAAAACAGAAAATTAATGGACCAAAATAGCACTAACCGAAATTTAAAGGACTAAATATAAAATAAAAATAATTTAGAGCCCATATCACAAACATTAAACAGTCAAATACTAGAAGTGAAAATAACCCAAAAGTAAAGCTTATGACTAAATTGAAATTTCACAGAAACATGGAGGATCAAAAAGTAATTAAATAAAATGTCAGACAGTGACCAAAATAGAACATTTGCAAATATGATGGCTGAATTCAAACATCCACAAAATATCACAACACAAGAACTTAGGACTAGAATGAAACTATTACAAACATAATGTCCAAAAGTCAAATATTCACAAAAATGACATAACATACATTAATAGGACTAAAATAAAGTATTTAAAAATGGGGTGGCCAGATTCGAATATCAAAGAAACACACATGAAATATTAAATCAGTGGCTAAGATGTAACATTTATAAATATTGAAACCAGAACCAAATATAAACCAAAAAATGTTATAATACCTAGGATAGTGACTAAAATGAACCTAAAAGAAATTTAAGCCTAAATCAAATATTAATCCCAATCGAACCCACAAGCCAACATAAAGGACCGAAATAAAAAGGATGCAAAACAGATGATCAAAATCATAAACCTCATCGAAAATAAAAACTAAGAACAAAGATGGACTAAAATAGAAGGCAACCCAGTTTAAAGACTAAAACATAAATGTTAATAAATTCCATTAATATACATACGATGATCAAAATAAAATTAATCACAAATCAATAAACATGAATAGGCATAAAACCAAACTAACATTACAGAAAATTTAAGGACTGAAATAAACATTTCACAAATTCCAGGCTTGATATATAAAATTGTCATAAACATCAACACATATGTTAGGACGAAAATATAACAAGAAATAAAAAGGAGACTCAAATAGGAAAACTGAAACCTAAAAGACTAAATAGGAATTAAACCATACACAAGCCAATGGCTAAAATAATATATTCACAAATATAGTGACCAATGTAAAATATTAACAAAAATAACTTAACAAATAATAAAAGGACTAAAATATAAATAAGGAAACATCAGAATCTGAAATCAAATAAATGAAACTTCATTTAATGGCTAAATAATACGGTTACAAAGCATCAGGGACCAAAAGAGTAGTTTACCCCTTAATATGAAAACACGGAAACCTCTAAACGGCGTCGTTTTTGAAACTGGGATATAATCCCATTTTAAGGTTATTAACCGAACCCTAAATCATTTTCACCCCTCTCTCAGCCTCCTTCCTTTCCCTCTCTCTACTCTCCTTTCTCCCTCGCCGCAACAGCCAAACAGAGCACTCAACCCCGGCCACCGTAGAACGGTGGCCACGGGGTCTCACAAACTACACAGTTTCCCCTTAAAATCGACCTGAAACTAAACCCCCACTCACAACCAAACCCGAAACCCCCAAATCCGAAAGGTAAAAAAAAAATATACCTCCAAAGATAGAGCCTAATCACCCCGATGAAGCAATGGTGGTCGGTTATGGTAAGCTTCGGTTCCTCTCTTTTTCCTTTCTGATTTTTTTCTAAACCCGAATGGTCTCTCCCTTTTTTTTGTTATCACCCCCCTTGCTCTCTGTTCTCTTTGCTCTTTCCTTTTATCTTGCTTTGCATGCTGATTTTTTTTTACTTCGTTTGGTGAGATGATGAGGTCTATGAATAGGGTTTGATTTCTCTGATTTGGGTGAATAAAGTCCAGATTTTTCGGGATTTTTGGGTGTTATTTTAATGGGTTTTCAGATTTAGGCCACTGTATTTGATAAGTTGATATTGATTTGGTTTCTGTTGATTGTTTTTTTTCACTGTTTCTATCACTGTTCGGCCTCTGTTAATGATGACGGCGACGATGAGATGGACCGGCAGCAGTGACGACGGCGGTGGGAAGTGCAACTTGCTGCTGGCGGTGGCGGCGGCTGGATAGGGGATTTAGGGTTTGAAACCCTAATTTGTTTTAGGGTTTGAAACCCTAATCTGATTTGGTTGTTGGGCTCTGGGATTGGGCCAATTGGGCTTCGGGTTGTTGGGCCTCTGTTGGGCCTTGGTTGGGCCTTGTTGTATTGGGCTTTGGCCTGCAAAATATGTAAAATGTAATATTAATAATAAATAATAATAATAATAATAATAAAAATAACGATAATAATAATATACAAAAAAGACCCGGACAAAAACGGGTGTCTACAACTAGGTTGAGAGCAACTTCCGTAAGAGACCTCCGAATTATGAAATGCCCTCCACATAAGAGAGCCATATGATATTCTCGAGAAATTAAGATACCTTCTAACTACAAAGGGATAGTTCTAGGTTAAAAAAAATTTAATTGTAAAATTATCTTGATAATTATTAATGTAATTTTGAGTTTAGAAAACTTCCATGAATGATATTTATATTATTTTCATCTCTTGTACGTTTTTATTTTTGGGTAAAGTACGCAAATAGTCCCTCGGCTATATGGTAATGTTTTGTTGAATCTCTCGACTATTAAAAATTACAAAATGATCATTCGACTATAGGGTGTTGCTTTGTTGAGTCCCACAACTATTAAAAGTTATAAAATGATCACCCAACTATTTAATATGTTCCAAACTCATCTTTTTTCGTTAAAAATTTAACAATAATTTGAGTTGGATGTTAACTTGTTGACTGAGATATGACAGTTTTTAAGATTGTAAAATCAAATTTTATCATATCTCATTTGTCAGGTTAACATCTAGCTCAGAGCACTGTCAAATTTTTAAAGGATGAGTTTGGAACATATTAAATAATCAGGTGATCATTTTGCAACTTTTAATAGTCAGTGAGTCAACAAAGCAACGCCCTATAATTGAAGGGTCATTTTGTAACTTTTAATAGTCGAGAGACTCAATAAAGCATCACCTTATAGTTGGGGACCATTTGTATGCTTTACACTTTATTTTTTTAGACTCAACTTAATGTAGATTATTTTTAACAAAACATCACCTTATAATAAATGACCATTTGTTGACTATGATACGATAAAATATGATCCTAAAATCTCAAACGACTATCATATCTTAGTCAGCATGTTAACATTCAGCTCAGACGATCATCAATTTTTTAATAAAAAAATGACGAGTTTTAAAAATATGAATAAACATGTGACTATTTTATAACTTTTAATAATTGAAGACTTAACAAATCAACATATTATAATCGGATACCATTTGCATACTTTATGCTTATAAAAAATACTATTTAGTTACAAAAGAAGAAAACATTACTCAAGTACATAAATTATTCCAATTCCCCTAATGTTCTTGTAATTAGACAACGTTATCCGAGGTAATAAAACAATTAGGCTAATCGATCAGATAATTTTTATTTATAAATTTTTAACTTACGACAATATACAATGTATATATATTTTATAAATATAAATATTTAAATTTAAATCTTCTAAAATTGACAATATTTTTACCACTAAAATTATTTAATGAATTATTGAATTTTCTTTAACTTGATCCATCATCGAATAAAATAGTCGAATTAACCAGCTATCATAATCATTATTTACATAACATCGGTTGATAGGTCGATTAACTGACTTATGCCGTCCATGACAGTGTGTTTATATTCTTAAAATTTGATGAGATGGCATAATTTTATTAGTGTCTAAACAATTAAGGATTCTAGGATCCACAGATCTAAGAATTCAATGCAACTCTAAAAGGTTGACCTCTTCAATGCTGTTACCGTCACGGCAGCTCCCAACGGCGACTTACCGACTTCGATCTCGAACGAATCGTATCGCCTGAACAGTTCCACCACGAAAAGCCGCGACACCAGCACCACGAAATCCTTGCCGGCGCACTGTTTGTTCTCCAACGTCGGGTTCTCAGTCTCCGGTCCATTCGACCAAAGCACGTGCTTTAACAGCCTTTCACCATCGTCCCCCATGAATCTGTCCGGTACAAACTCCTCGCCATCCTCGAATATTTTCGGGTCTTTAGTTGCAAAAGGTTGGTACCCATACAACATCTCGCCTTCTTTCACTTGGTAAACGGCGTCGTGGCTCTCGATCAACAGATCTTTCTTCGCTCTCCCGTACTGTGAAGCAACCGGAGGTTCGATCCGGAGACCTTCGTATACGACGGATTTCGTCAACGGCATCTGTTCCACCGTGGCCATCGTGAGTTTCCCGCCGTGGGATTTGATAACCGACCTGATCTCTTTTGCTAATTCAGTATGTAATTTGATTCCACCTCTGCCGATCCACTTTAGCATGTTGGGGAAGAAGAACTTCATGCCACCGAAGGTATTAAAGCACGTGGCGAATAACATGTTATGGCAAGCTTCTTCTCGTGAGATACCCAGCTTCTCAGCTTCTTCTTGAACGAAACCAGAGGATTTGTAGAAAAAATCGTAAAGTCTCTGGTAATCCTTTTTGACAAGAAATGGAGGAAGAGGAAAAGAACGGATTGCAAGTTCTTCGATCAATCCCGGTAGACCAAGAGAAAGAATCGGACCCAGTTGAAGCAATACCCATTTACTAATCAAGCTTGGACCGTCATCTCCTAGCTTAGTATCAGCCGGGTTCGAATCGAAGAAAGCTCTACACAAGAAATTAAACCCAGCTTGATCATTAACTGACTGAAAACTGCTTTTTCCTTTCTGGGAAAGTTCTTCCTCTAATGTTTCGTATAATTTGGAGTAACAAGCTTCAAACTCAGGGATCACTTTGTTTGCTCTAGACTTCAAGAGAAAAAACACCAGTTGTTTGAGCTTGGCGTGTTTTGGCTCGGAAGGGTCGAGATAGGAGAGGACACGGTAGCCGCCCGTGAGGTCGGTTGACGGCATGTAAGTTCCGGTGAAAAGGTTTTTTTTCTCAACTTTGGACACATCGAAAAGAACAGGGAAACTCTTACCGTCGAGTAAAGCGACAACCTTTGGGTTTGAAGAGATGAAAGGACCAGGTGGCATGTTGGTTCGAAATACTGTTGACTGGTATTTCTGGATTTTGGATTTAAAGAATTCATCCCGGCCTTTGTTGTAGAAATAGTCAAGCCGGTCTTTGATCGGACCGACGAAAGGAAGACCATAATCCCCCGGGATTTCCTTCAACGGAAGCTTGGTTTCTCCAGTCTTGGAAACTGACGCCTGTGCAGGTGGTTTATCTGACACTGAACCTCTAATTGGCCGGACGATCGCCTGACGTTGAAACAAGCTAGTTATTGTTGTGGATGGTGAATTGAATTGCAGATGAAGGGGTGTGAAAGGCAAAGAAACAACAGATGCCATTAGGATATGAAAATTGGTCTAAGACATGTGTGGATCGATGAGGGAAGACGATTAGGTAAAGTGGACAAGTGGAGGGCAGAGTCGAGTCTCTGTTTATAAAATTGGCCGACCAACGACATCATGGAACAAAAAGGTAAGGAGCCGGTCTTACTGCTGACTTGAATATTGCGCCCAATGACTTCAACCCACTTGTTAAAGCAGTGCATTATTTTTGTTTAATCATTGATTTTTAACTGGATATTTTAAATACATGCTAATCAGGTAAAACTCACGTAATAATGCATTGGGAATTTAAGAGTTAAGTATACGTTTATTTAATTATTAAAAGTTATAAAATAACCTTTTAGTTATAGGATATTATTTTATTGAGTCTTTCAACTATTAATAGTTACAAAATAGTTATATGACTATCCATATATTTCAAACTCGTCATTTTTCATTAAAAATTTGACGACAATTTGAGCTGGATGTTAACATGCTAGTTGAAATATGTTAAAATCCGATCTCAGAATCTCAAACGACTATCATATCTTAATCGACATGTTAACGTCCAACTCATACGACTATCATATCTATTTATTAAGAACTAGAGGTATTTTGGTTAGTATATACTTATCCTCCAAAAACTGTGACGTGCAAAACATGCTAGTTGAATGCTTAATTAAAGCCAAAATCATAATTTATACATTTTTACACATTGTAATTACACAAACAAAAACACTATGCATGTAAATATAAATACAGACTTGATTTAGATTACATACACATTATTTAAACTTATGTTATTATTTAAATTGACGAATTACTTAATTAGCTTGAATTTTCTCTTTCCTTTGAGATTTCAACCGCACTTTGCTCTTCCAAATATATGAACACAATCAAAGACATTACAAAACATAAAAAAACAAAATCAAAGCTTATAGAATGATAATTACCAAGCCTTGAATTTAAGGATGAATGGAGGAGTTTAAGAAAAAATGTTGACATGATAATTAGCTATGTTAATGTGATGGCCCAAATGTAATAGTCTCAATTTTCGATGATGATTATAGTACTTGTAATATTTTTTTCGAATTAGATTTTTTTTTCAAATCTAATGATTAAAAAATCTAGGCATAATAAAAAAATCTAAATTATATATATTTTTTATTTAGGTGTCTAAACTTTTTTTTTCGCTCAATGTATGTGTTTTAACGTTACTAATATTATCATTTTGAGTGCCTCAACCATTCAAAATACAACGTGCAGTACTTTTATAAATTTTATAAAAAATTATTTTAAAAAAACTTAAAATTATTATTATTATTAGTGTTTAGTTAAGGCATTTCTAAAAATTTATTTTTAAAAAAATTTAAAAACTTGAAATTTATTTAAAAAATGATTCTCTCCCTTACTACAAACCAATTTCGGGGGAAATTAAAGGATTTGTTTTAGTGTTTTCACCCAAAAGCACTTATTTTCCAAAATTTCATAAATACCAAAATTTAGTCTTGGTAATTTCTATATTACAACATTTCAAACTTAATTTATCAATTTCCATAATATTCTATTATATTATGCTTTGAGATAATAGCCATGTAATTCCTCTCATTTTGCTTCCTTTACAATTTGATCTTTAAATTTTTCATTTTACTTTTTGATTTTTAATTTAGTCCTGAATCAGACCATCATCTAATCAAATGAATTTAACCGAATCTAACATAATTATAATAATAATAATAAAAAATATTTTAATTATAGCTCAAAACAAGGACTGAAGTAGTCAAAGAAGAAATTGTCAGGATGTTCACGGAAAATTATAAAGGATAATAAAGGTCCTTGAAAACTTGAAGGGGCGTTTTGTTCATGCAAAAGATCGTTATCGGATAATCGATTTATCAATTATTTTGTATGAATTTTTTTAAATAGTATAAGATTATTATAAAATAATATTTATTTAAGATTTTTTTAGTCAAACAACACATATACATTTTACAGATATAATTATTTAAATTAAAATCCTCTAAAAAAATATTTACTATTAATAGTATAAGCCCTAGCTCGATGGTATGGCAAGGTTAGCTTGGAGTCTCCCCTTTGGTTTTCGAACTTTCAGATCTCCCCCAACACAGCACAGCTTATATCAGTATATCAAGTTAAAGCAGACACTGCAACAAGCAAAGCTGGAATTTTAAATTAGACTTAGTTTGCTTTCTTTATTCATTGAAAAAAAAAAGACACAACAAATCATTTAATTTTTCCAAACCGTTACAAAATAATAATTAAACTTTATCAAACTATAACAAAACAGTAGTTAAACATGTCGAATTATTAAAATGATCCTTGAACTTGTTACTACTATTTTCAGAGTCAACTCTTGGGAAGAGCACTATGAGAAATTGCTCAGGGCCCTGCTCCTTTAATATTTACATTTAGGGCTCCATTATTTTAATATTTACAATTAGGACTCCCACTCTTTTAATCTTTACAGCTATGGCCCCTTATTTTTTTATGTAGCATTTTAGCCCTCAACGTTTCATTTTAGGTTAAAATGTTTATATTTTGGAGCGTTAATCTTGTGTTAATTAATTATTTTCATCTATAGATGGAGCTTTTCCCCCAAAGTGAAATATTGAGGGGTTAAAATGCTTCAAAAAAAAGAGTAGAACCCAACATAATTATTTTAATAAACACCAGGGGTTATTTTTGACATTATGCCATAAATTTATTCATAAATGATAAATCAAATTAGATTGCAATTCAAATATTTTTTAAAGGTCTTTCTTAACCTATTTTGTCCCGTCAGGCGAAATTAAAAACACATTTCATCTGTAAAAGTTACAAATCTACTTTTATAATTAAATTTAAATAATATATAATAATTTAGGTGAAACCTCTCCAAAACAAAATAAATTCTTGAGTTGTTCGACCTTTGGATAGATATAAGATAATGAAGAATAAATAAATCTTATTTTGCTATTGGTATATTTGGATGAATTCACCAGTTTTGATCAAATCTGTTTAAACTTTGCATTGAGATGAAAAATCTGATGAAATTTTATATAGGAGCATTTCTCGATTTTTTTTAAATAAAGTAATTTTTACGATTATTAATATTTAATTTATAGGCTATAATGATTTGAAGATAATATTTGTTTAGATTTACTTAATTTATTGATAACAAATACAACTTGCAGATATATTTGTTCGAATTCAAGTCCTTAAAGAAAAACATTATTTTTTTTATAATTGAAATCAATCAATGAGGTCCGAAGAATCTAGCTTCTTATCTAACTAAATTAATTAGCACTTGATTAAGATATTAGTTTTCTGGATAAACTATATGTTTGGTACTTAAAATTTATTGTTTTTCAAAATCATACTTCACTTTTAATTTATATCTCAATTTGGTACTCAACTTTAAAAAATTAACAAAAACAGATGACGTGTCACTTTTTTAAAAAAAATTCAATAATGACATGGAATTACATTACGGTTACACGTCAATGTCACCGTTAAGTTTTTAATGATTGGATGCCAAAATAAAACATGAACTAAACGCGGTATACGATTTACCCTTTTTTAATATACAATACTCATTATTCACACGGCTCGAACACACAAAATACATAATATAATTAACCATAATCAGGTTCTCGGGCCTAGTACATTGACATACATATGCATGTAATTTACATACCCCTTGGAATCTAGACTATTTTACATGGTTCACCTTTCATCATTTCTTGAAATTCATGGAAGTCGAGCACTCCATTGCCATCGAGATCAAACACTCGAATCATACCAACGCACTCCTCGTACGACTTCACGTCCCCTAAACGATTAAGCGTCTGCTGCAACCCCGCTGGCGTGATGCACCCGCAGCCTTTGTTGACTTCGAACATCTCGAACGCTTCTCTAATATCATCACCTTCATTATCCCCATCCATCAACTTCACGAAGTCCATGAACTCCATTGAGTCGTCCCCATTGTTGTCAAAATCTTCGATAACCCTTTGAGCCTCCTCGGTTGATATCTTGTCACCTATGGATGCGAAGTATGCGGTGAGTTCCTCGCTCGAAATCTTGCCGTCTCCGTCGCTATCGAACCGACGAAATACCGCTAGAAGCGCTTCTTCTTTAGTGTTGTAAGCTAGTGTTGGTGCAGTGGTAGCCCTTGAGAATTTGGGTTTTGAACGAAGGCGAGGGAGGCTTAACCTTAAACCCTTGTTGGAGAACCATTTGGAAGATGGCTTAGAGATGCAAACGGTTTCCATGAAAACTGGTTGAAAGAATAGTTTGGGGGTCAGAATTTAAACAAGGAATCTCACATTTTCTATGCTATCTGTGAACAATAAAAGCCAAAATGTGAAACATAGAGTCTTGCGTAGAAGTTGCTTGATTGGGAAATCATTGAGGTCTGAAGTTGCTATGTAGCTTCTTGGCTTCTTGGGCGGGACCAAGTCATTTGGCTTTTCAACAACATGACATTAATTTCTGTCTGGAAAGTGACAGGAAATTTTGGAAAGAAGGAAACTTTTTTGTAATCCTTTTGGCTATATAATTAGAAGGAAACAAAACAGTAATATATATAAAAAGTTTTTTTATTATAGATTTGAGTTAAATACAATATAATATCCGTTAAAAAATATAACAATCCGAGATAATAATCGTACCGAGATAATAAAACAAAAGAAAATTATACTTTTTAAATAATATAAGTCATCATCTAACATCATAGTATCCTTCTAAGACAACAAGATCTCTTGAATAATACAAATCATAGTCTCTAGTATATATGAAATATCTCAATATCATTGTTATTGTTTTCCAGTGATTTTTTCTTGGATTACTCGTGAATCTACTTAGATTGCTCACGGAAACTCATTAAATACATTAGGCTATGAACCTTGTATATTCCACTTGGTGAACACTTTCACCAGAGATTTTCTTATCAAAAGATGTTATGATAAGCATGAATCTAAATTAAAATCGTTCGACTACTTCTTCATCGACACTGATTTCTCGTAGTTAGACCGACTTGAATATGAAGTAAGTCGCTCCCCACATTGAGAGGAGTTTCCCCACTTCCTCAATAGTCGGTGATGAACTTCGGCATTGAGTTAGGGTTTCGTCATTATAGTTCACCTTTTTCTTCTCCTCTCTTATTGTTTTTATAGGATGTTGTCTACCGGTAGATGGGGATAAGGAAGATGATGAAGGGATATAGTTGGATTTGAGGTAATAAGGATTTATGAGATTTTTGACGACCGAAGAGGAGTTATGGGGGTTTGAGTTGAGATTGATTATCGGGTCAATATTGGGCAAGCTGGGTCACAGGTTTTGGGGGCCTGATGGGTTAACCCCGATTTGGTTCTGGACTGAGTCCTAGAGTTGAACTGGCTCGGACAGAATCAATGCTTACAATAGTGAGAGATTGGAACGAAGACATTTTCTCCTTGTAAGTTTGTAATGGGTCAAATTTGTTATGCATTTAACTTGACCCAAATCTTTTCTTATTTTAAACATGATATTCTAGATACTTTGATGTCAGATTTATATTTATTTCTCAATTAACTTTTTATTTAAGTCTAACATTCTAGACATATTGATATGATTATGTATTTAATTTCTCAATTAAATACATTTGGTAGGGTAATCATCTTTTTTAAAAGAACCTAGACACGTAATTAATAAATACTGGAAAGCTGCCGCAGACTTGTGAATTGAACAGGAATATCTGCTCAAATGACATCTTGTTCCAACATAATATACTAGTTTTTTCATTTATTGAAAGTTATTATTATTAATCTCGTGATTTTCTTCACCTTTTATCCCTTTCTTATGTCATAATAGTTTTAGTCTAATAATTATATTATTATTTAATAAATTGACATATAAATAAATTTATGGTTTATTTTTTCAGAAAAAATCGATAGATCTCAACTTAGAATAATATATATGGGTTTTTTATATGCTTCCAGATAAGTTTAACGTCTGCACTTAATTTATTTTACACGATTAATACATCAAATAATTTTTTATTTAATTAAATTGATTAAAAGGAAACATATTTTACCCGATAAGAGTTAGTTTACTTTACTAACAAATTTATTAAACAATCTTAGTAGTTAAAGAGAATATTATTTTTCTCTAGAAATGTTGTATTCAAATAGTTATATATGCCTGATGTGTGTACGTTTCCAAAAAGAAATTAGTTTATTAAGACATTGAAAATAAAAAATTAATATTTACTCTTATAAAAAGTAATTATATTATTTATTTACGTAATACAGAGACTTCAAAAACAAATTGGACGCATTTTCCACGAGCTGCTGGACAATGGGCTTATTAATTTTATCTTGAACTTTTCGGCTACTTGTATTTACTTTTAAAAAGGGTAAAGTACACAAGTGGATCTACTACTATAGGGTCATTCTTTTTTTAGTCCATCAACTATTAAAAGTTACAAAATATTTTTTATGTTACTTTGTTGAGTCCTAACATTCATAGTTTGTGAACATTCATAGAAACCAAACATTGATACTCAAACATTCATAGAAACCAAAACATGAACAATAAATTTTCATCAAATCCAAACAAAAACAAAATGGAACATAGTTTGTATAGTCTTGTGCACTATGTTTGTGATACATTTTTCAAGCGAATAGATGCATCATGTATAGTCTTGTAAACCAAATATAATCTTCGAATCTTCATCAACAAACCATCACTTCTCAAAAGTCCTCTCCATCCTAGTATCAATAGGGATAAACCAATATTAAAAAATTAGACATATTTTCAATGGGATAAAAGTCAGAATTAAGAGAATAAGAATATTTACAATCATCCGTTTATTTTTTTAATATATATATATATATGGATGGATGGATATATTAATGGGTGGATGGATGCCGCGGGTGATGGGTAAAAAAAAAATTCATCCATATCCGACCCGACCCATCACCCGATCCATCCATCACCCGCCAATCATCCGTTTCACAACGGGTTTTCATCCATTTATTCGGGGCGGGTGGGTGGATAATCCACTCACCCATGGATAATTGCCAGCCTAATTTTATCATATCTTAGTCAACAAATTACTATCCAACTTAGACTGCCGCCAATTTTTTAACTGAAAATGACGAGTTTGGAACATATGAATATTCAGATGACCATTTTGTAATTTTTAATAGTCAGAAGACTCAACAAAGTAACATCCTATAGTCAAGAGACTATTTTGTAACTTTTTAATGATTGATGAACTCAAAAAAGTAATGTCCTGTAGTTGGGGGATCATTTGTCTACTTTACCCTTAATTTTAAAAAATACACGTCGGAACATGGAAGCTTCCATAAGATATTCAAAATCTGGATCTCCCAAGCAGTGTCTGTCTAACTCAAATGTTGAAATAGGCGGAGCCGTCCTTCAATTTTTAACTCCTAATTCAAACTTCCAACTTTCGTTCCCATTCAAAATATAAGTAAAACAAAAACACCTTCAAATTACCACTATAAATATATATATCATTTTTCAGTTTGATTCTGATGTAACATAGGAATGATCATAATGCAATCCGTGAAATACTACCTATCAGAGCATCCGTCCGTCGTCAACTTCCGGTGGAGCAACACCCAAACGTTTGGCTCCACCTGGTCCTTCCTCTTCTCCTCCATCTCCATCTACGTCGTCGCCGCCACCACCCTCCATACCTTCCTCTCTCTCATCCTCCCCAAACGTCGACGTGTTCCGCTCGGCCCAATCCCAGCCATCCACAGCCTCTGTATCTCGTTAATCTCCGCAGTCATCTTTGTCGGCATCCTCCTATCTTCCGCGGCCGACATCCGCGACACCCGATGGTTCTGGCGTCGTACCAGAACCATAACCACCCCATTCCAATGGTTCCTCTGCTTCCCACTCGGAACGCGCCCTTCTGGTCGCGTCTTCTTCTGGTCCTACGTATTTTACCTCTCCCGTTTCCTCCACCTCCTCCGAACATTCTTCACCATCCTCTGTCGCCGTAAATTAACTTTCTTCCATCTTTTCAACCAATCAATTCTCTTATTCATGTCTTTTCTATGGCTGGAATTCTCTCAGTCGTTTCAAGTCTTGGCTATCTTATTGGCCACTTTGTTGTACTCGGTGGTGTATGGGTTCCGATTCTGGACGGCGATCGGGCTCCCGAGCAGCGCCTGCTTCTCTTTCGTTCTGAATTTCCAGGTGGTGCTTTTGGGGCTCAATTTAATCTGCCATTTCGGAGTAATTTTTCTGCATTTTGTGAAAGGTGGGTGCAATGGAATGGGAGCTTGGTGTTTCAACTCTGTTCTCAATGGCGTAATTCTTTGTCTCTTCCTCGATTTCTACTTCAAGAGGCATTTGAGGAAGAGAACCCTTAGTGACATTAGTGGACACGGTAGTAGTTCAACTTCCGCTCGTTACCGCCGTCGCTCGGCGTCAGCAATGAAAAGTGATTGAATTTTGGGTAAACTACCTATTTGGTTACTCATCTATTACTTGGTTTCTGTTTTGGTCACTCAACTATTATTTTATCTCAAAATCATACTTAACATTACATTTTAATTTTGTTTTAGTCATCCGTCGTTGAAAAATTAACGGTGATAATGGTGTTTCACCATAAGGTAATGAGAAGTTAGTATTGAAAAATAATTAAAAAGTATCACATCAGCATAACCATTTAATGGTAGATGATCAAAACAGAACCAAAACGTAACGTTAAATATTATTTTTAAAAAATACCAGTTGGATGACCAAAACAAAAACTTAATAATAGCTCGATGACCAAATAGATAGTCTACCCTTGATTTCTTTTAACCATTTTTTTTCTTCGATAGAATATATTTTTGGGGGAAGGGAATCAATGTGTAAACATTTTGTTCAAATTGTAAATACGAATGGTCACATTGCAAATAGTATAAAGGAATCGTAACGTAAGGTGATGGTTAGTGTTTTGTTAATTTGTTTTTATTAATATCTATAACCATTAATTGTTTGCAATCAATGAAAATTAAATTCACGAACCTGAATTACATGTTTATAAATGGCATAATGAAACAAACTGGACCATTCTTTTTGGACGATAACATGGTCTTTATGGGTGAAACGGAATTAAAAACATAATTTATCCAGTAAAGGATCCAGAAATTTAAAAATAAGATCCAAAATTTTAATATTCCTTTTCTTTAAGAAAACCAGTATGAAATTTTGCTTCCTTTTTTCTCTCATTCCCTTAACATATGAAACTAAATTTAATAATTTATCTAAAATAATAGGTATGCATTTAGTCTCACAAGGGTCAAGTGTATCCACCTCTGATTTGATCCCAATAACATCGAAAGATACGATCTTGGAAAAATGAAAAAAGATATCTAATGAAAAACTAGTAACAATTAAAATATATAATAGTGAAACAATCAAACTACATATTCATCCTACTATAACATATTGATAAATTGTTAGCTCGGGATTAGAGAGTCTCAACTAAGCATATACCAAGAGAAGGAAATAGGATGGCAGATACGCTAGCCAAACTCAAGTGAGACTACATAATTTCACACAGCCACCTAGCATAGATTACTCTCATATTTAGTTTCTTCTCTTATTCCAACAAAAAACAATGCATTTCAAAATTCTAGTAATGTAAAAAAAAAATTCATCCTAAGACACCTTAATAAAGTTAATAAAATTTTTGAAATCCGATTCAATTGATTGAATAATTGTTTTTTATTATTATTTTAAGAATTCTTAATGAATCCGTATGTCAAAAAAACAATGAATTCTTAATAAATCACATAATTTTAAATTTCATCTCATAATTTCAACCAATCATAACATGAATCTTTAATTTAACGAATTAATTTGATGGAATTCTGACGAGTAATTTGAATTGGATGGAATGTGAGAAGCGGTAGTTGTGGTGGCGCACAATGAATCCATCCTATAATAGTTGAAAGTGAATGCAGTGTTTCAACTTTAAACTACAAATTTAAGATAATGTGGGACTATATATAGCTGCGCACCTCCTCCATTGCATGTACTGCCAAGGACTACGGCTAATTTAATACTAATTTATAAGGTTTATAAACGAACCGAATGTTCATCAAATCATTTGTGAATAGTTTGGTTGAAAGTTCGTTTATTTATTAAACGAAATAATTTGAACATGATTTTTCGTTTGTTTAATTAAATGAACAAACACAAATAAAATGTTCGTTCGTTCATTAAATTAAATTTATATTTATGCTTGATTATTTATATTCTTTTAAGAACTTTTCCTTGATTTAAAAGAAAATTATATTTTATGTTCGTTTGTATTAGTTTATCCATGGACGGATCTGTATACCAAAATTTTTGGTTTAATAGCATTTTAGGTCCTTATCAATTTAAATTTAAGAAAAATTAAACTTTTTCCTTTAATTTTTTAGATTAAATGCATAATAAATCTTTATTATTTTCAACTTAATTACTTTGTCCCTCCCAAGATTTGATCCTGACTTTGTCTCTATATTTATCATTTAAAAAACAAACATAAACGAATACAAATAAATTATATTATTTAATAAATAAATACAAATAATAAATGTATACGTATTTATTCATTTATTTAATTAAAAACAAATAACGAATATGAACATACCCCAGTTGATTTTCGTTCCGTTTTTGTTCCGTTTGTTTACATGTAGGTAATTTATGAAAAGTATGCACAAATTCAGCAACCGACTTTATTAGAATGGCTAAATTTCTTTACCATGAAAAGCTCTGGTGGGGCACACAAATTCAACTGCATACTTACTGCTTACCCTTTGATAGGCCTTGTGTTGGTTTAGTTTCAAAAAACAACTGCCTCCTTTATTACTAACATTGGGTTTTTATTAAGTAGGGATTCTTTTAAAATTGAAAATTAAAACAAAAAGGTTCCATTTGAGTAAAATTTACTGTAATCCTAGCTGTAATGACAAAAAATAAGCTTATAATTGAGGATTATCAATACCCAAAACTTTGTATCCTATAATCCAATTATATCATCTATTTTCACTTACTTAATAATCTCAAATCCATGTAAAATTAAACAAGTTTTACACTGTATAAGTAGATTCTAACTCTATATATATTGTTATATGTATTAATCTCATCTAGTAAATTTTAATAGTTTGAGATGATTATAAAATAATATTTTTTAAAAAATCTATTAATCTATTGATAGTGTACACACATCTTATAAATATAACCGTCTAATTATCTAAATTTCGAAAAAAGAATGAATTTTATTTTTACCGCTAACACCCTTAATAAATTTCTTATAATAAAGTTTGAATATACAAGAATCTAAAAAGGATCTCGTTCTAGGTAGGGTTAATGTTAAACATAGCAAGTCGATGATAATTAGATGATATACTTCTAACAATTGTATGCTTAACATATAGAGCGTTGTCGAGTCACATCAGATTCCATAACATGACAGAAGTCATCTCATCACAATGAAATACATGAGCACGAGACGTATCATTATACAACTATCAGCTGCCTGTGCAAGACATTTTCCGAGGGGGCTATATTAAGTTGTTTTAATTTTTTTTAATTTTGATTTATTCGAATTGAGATGATTAAAATATTTGAGTCAATACAAAATTTGAATTTAAATTTATAAAATTTAAATTTTAAATATTTTAAAATAATATTTTGAGATGATTTTAAGGTTACTTTTTTCAAATTTTTTCATTTTAAGTTTACTTTGACCACATTTAAATTAATTTTTTTCTATTGATTTTTTTTTCAATTTAGTCCATTAACTTTGCATGATTTTTTCTTTTCTTCAATTCATTTTTTGTTTCAAGTAATTTTTGATCAAATTTGAACCATATGTTTCTCTCTTCTATCACATTGCTATGCAACTCCAATCCAAAATATTGGGGGGGGGGGAATTCCCCAATTGCAAATTTTGCAAATACTTCCTTATTATAAAAACAATTTATTTTTTTCAAATTTAGGCTCTTACTTTTATATTTTACTTATTTTGGTCCCTCAATTGCAAATTTTGCAAATACTTTCTTCCGGTTAATATTCATCGACACATTTATACTCACATCAATATTGTCCTCAAAATCCTTTCTTTAAAAAAACATTATAAATATACTATAATTTTATATGGTATCTAATTTATTACATAACATTATAATTTTTTTATAAAATAACATCACAAGTTTTACTTACACGTGTAAAGAAGAATATGAAGAAACATATATATATTATAACTTGAGAAAGTTGTTTGAATTTGAACCAATCTGTATCATAATATTATAAACAACGACAATTCAATTTGAACGAAAACTTGAATTCCAAATAAATTTTGAATGAAAAAATAAAACTCATCAACTCGGTTAATCCAAAATTACTTTACTCCACTCGACATAATTGAATATTCACCCTAATCAAAATTCTCTGTTCCTGTTTTATCCATTCTCTCATATATAGACTCATGTTTAGCAGATATCTATCAGCTTAATCCCCAACTCAAAAGAAATATGAAGGAAAACCAATAAAGTAGACAAGGGAAGAATACATACATTTTAAGAAATCCACTTCACCAAGTACAGTGAACCAAGCATAAGAAAGGATTTCTTGAGAGGTCTCTTAACCAAGTTTTTACATCATATCTACATATAACTACCCTACCAAAAAGGAAGAAATGACCTCTATCGCTTCAATTAGATCTTAACCTACTAAACAGCTCGAGTACTGGAAAGATAAACAAGCCACGAATACATACATATTATCGATATCGCTAACAAGTGAAGAGGATATTAGGATAACGACTTTCTGTTAGCACTGACAACCGAGCTCGAAACCCATCAGAACATTCTTATCCTGGTCATTTGCAAACCGTCTTCAATCTCTTTGCAGCCTGAACAAATCCCACAATGACCTGCAGCTCATCCATTTGCTACAACAACAGACGCCAAATTATATCATGTATTTAGAATCTGGCCAGAAACCGTCGAATGTCATTCTTGTTCGAAAGGTTTACCTGTGACACGAAATGCCTTTGAACAACGTCGACTAGTTGCTCTTTCGATGGATTGGGGATGGCATCCACCTAGCATTAGCATAAACAATGACATTTAAACAACTTTTTTCTTTTGTTATAAATGTGCCTATTTCTTGTGCCAAGAACTTACAAGATTGAAGTGTCTCCAATATCTCCATAAAGCAGATATCTCGAGTTTGCTGAGGTCGACCTTCTACAGGGGAGATTAATGGAAAAACACAACCCCAATTATTCCAATAATAGATAGCTAACGTAATTGCACAATAAGACAAAAGAACTTACGTAAAAACCGAATACAAGTTCGATAAAATCATTATTTACCGTGGATCCGATAGTAGTGGAAACAGACCCCTTAGACTGCGAGTCACAAGAAAGTGACCTGCTCATATTCTTGTGAGAAGAACCAGTCGGTTTATGTGTTCTATGCCTCGATCTGTGGCACTTGTGAGTGTCATCAGATACTGGAAATTGAGACATAAAACATTCAGGATTAAAGAGAAAAAAAAAAGCACGGTGGGACCGATATAAAGATAAAGCAATGAAACATTGAAGCTTTTAGGAATAGCAAAAGTTAAAGTGAAGACACAAAGGATCCTATGTTCCAAGCTCAAGTACATTTCACTAAAAAGAAATTATCATACACCAGATGGTTAATCACAAAGTTAAGTATCATTAGAGATCAAAAGTCACTGAGAATGATAAGCATAACACTTCCTCCCAAGACAAAGAGGTCTTAGACACAACACAGCAAATGAGATTATCAGAAGTGCATACGAAAAAGACAATCAAGACTATTGTTGTTGGTTTGACATGGGCACATGGCTTTGCAGTTCGACAGTATAGACAACTAAATTAGGAGGCTGATGCATTTTCTGAAGGAACTCACCCATGTCGGATCCATTACACTGCATGTTTTCGAATTCAAGATCCCCGTCGTCTTCATTGCCAGTAGGTGCTTCAATTACGCTGAGTGCATTTCTCTGTAGCTTTACTTCTATGCCATTAGTAAGAACCTGTGGTTTTTATTAATTAGATAAACAAATATCACTATCAGCTACACAGTAAACAAATGCCTATCTACCATAATATGCTAAATAAAATAAAATCTGGTCTTGAATACATATAATTCAAAGGTAAATCTATGAATTTGTCAAAAGAAATCAGAAATAATAAGAAAAGATAGGAAATTACTGGAGAGAAAAATCAACATCAAAATATGATCATTTCCAGCAAACTATGAATTAATGGCATAGTAAATCATCCGAAACACAAACGAAAGTTACAAAAATGGGGAAAGAAAGAAGAAAAAAAGCAGGGATTTTCTTAAAAACCAAGGAAGCAAAAGCATAACTCAATTCCAAAAGCAGCATCAAAACAATTTACAGTAGATTAGAAACAATTTTTTTTTAAAAAAATACCAAAATTCCTGAAAAATCAAAATTTATTGTGAAAATCCAGAATAGCAATCATACATTTACTAAACCAATTGGAAATTCAAGATCCATAGTGTAAAACTTACATGCAATCAAAACCCACTTCCAAGACCTCAAATTTGCAACTTGAGGCCAGTAAAAAAACCCATTGTTTTTAATTGATAGAAATATAGGAATTAAATTTGCAGTTTTAGTATAAAAAATTTGTTAAAAACAGGACAGCAGTTTAGTAATTGAAAATCTCAAATTGAATCCACATTAAATTAAAAAAAAAATAATTTGAATTTACTTAATCTTGAAAATATAAACATTATAAACCAGGAAATTAAGAGCAGCCAGTTTCCAGATCAAACCGCAAAACCCTTTTTTATACCAAAACTGAAAAAAAAATTCCAAAGAATTACCAGCCAATGCCACCCTCCAAGCCCAACAGCCTTCTTGACCACGCCTTGAAGACCAACAAGAACCGATTTAGTACGGTTATTCCCGGTTACAACCACTTTAGTATGACGTGGCAGCACCGAGAGCTCTTCTTCGCTACTGTCTCCGCAACTCTGTAACTGCGAGAAACCACAGCCATTGGCGGAACTCTCCATTGCCTCCAACATTAGTTTCTCCAGCAACAGCAACAACAACAAAGCCCCAACTCAGTGAGTCAACCAGGTGGGTCAAACTCAGTAAAAATTCCAAAGCCAAGGATCAAAATTACATCGGATCGGAAGATCATGCATTGGTGAATACGTATAATCGGTTTTCGTAAGCAGGGGAGAGAAATTAAGGCGAAATTTGGGAATTTAGTGGAAGAGAAAACACAGGTTAGAGAGAGAGAGAAAAAAAAACAAAAATCAGAGCAGTTGTTTTTCTAGGGAGAGAAAGACTGTTTTTTTTTATTGGCTGGTGTCGCTAGGAATCCCGACAAAACGAATGGACGAATCAGATGATCCCACGTAGGGATGTGAGAGCTTTCTCATCAATCATGCGTTACAGACAGAGGAGAGAGTCGAATTCTCTGATATAGCAGTAGCACCAGATTCTACCTTTTGGCTTTACGTTATTTCTTAATACTAGTAAAAGTATTTAAGAATTTCTTTGAAAATTTAACTAGTTCAATTATGATTGCAAATGTACCAAGTACTCACTTTTAATTATTTTAGGATAAACCAAACGTTTAGTATTTAAAATATTATTTTTATTCTATTTTGGTACCCAAACTTTATTTTTTTTCAAAATCATATTTAATATTTAGTTTAAGTTTCAATTTAGTATCCGCCATTAAAAATTTAATAATGATATTGACTTGTCACCATAAAGTAATGTCACGTCATCAGTAAATAAATGCCATGTTAGTTCCTCCTCATGCATATGTTATATCAACTTCATTTATGATTTTGTTTGCATTGTATATTTGATTTTATAAAAAAAATTAAGGTAATTTTATTTTATTAGAAGATTAACAATATAGTCTCTTAAATATGAAAGTACATTCTTCGTTAGTTTTTTGAATTAGGATGTCTTTTTTTAAAAAAAATAGATGGAATAAATTATACCGTTTAATTTTAAAAGCACTCAACAAATTTTTATATTTAAATAAAATTTACTCTTTTAAAAGTTTCATTCGTAATGGATCGTAAATTAAATTTAAACTCAAATTTGTAAAATTAACGATTAAGACAACATGTAATCAACTAGATATTCCTTTTTAATTTTACATTGTACTAATTCTTCTACACACGTAACTGACTCTTAAATTCGTTTTGTTTTTGTTATTTGATTTTTAAGTGTATATTTTAAAAATTTATCATTTAAAAGAGTTTTCAAAAATATTCTTTTTAAAACGTGATTTTATAAATATTCGATCATATTTAATGTCAAATGATTTATGATGATTGATTTTTTATTTTTTCGAGTTTTAAAATAAATATATGAATGTGCGCATTTTCAAAAAAAAAATCGTCAAACTTAAAAACCATTTGGACGTATAAACTACAATTTCTAGTAGTCTAAACCCGTGTTAAGATAAATTGAACATAAATAAACACGTAAACAGAATTCAATCTTTGGTAAAAGTAAAGTTTATATATGTTAAATATTTTTATTTGGATAAACTACAAATATGATCACTCATGTTTGAGTAAATTTTTATCTTTTCCACTTGAATTTCAAAAGTAACAAATTGATCACTAACATTATCGATTTGTAATAAAATTATCACTCCACTGTTATCCTCGTTAAATTGATGATATGGCAACGTTAACAAAAAGTTTAATATTTAGTTTTACTCATTAACTACTACTAAAATATCAAATAAGTCCTTATTTAATGATTTTATATATAATTTACCCCAAAAACTTTCTAATTTTTAATATTTTTCAAACACCCCACCACCTTTGATATTCTCTCATATCACTTTATTTTGTCATCTCAAAAAAATATAAAAGCAAAAACCACCTTGAATCTTGAAGAATATGATACAATATCTATACGTACATGTATGCAAATGCAAACAACGTAGAGTTGCATATAGAACAAATTAATATGGTGAGATTGTTTAAGGGTATTCATCATTAGTAGTATCATTTGTCATTTTGGTAAAAGAAACCATAGTTTTTTTTTACTTATTAATGCATGCATGCATGTATGCATGTATGCATGTATGCATGTATGCATGTATAAAACTTAAAGGATTAGACTTTGGTGTTTCAAAGTTCTAAAAATCATGAAAAATACTATAAAACTTAGAATTAATAATATTTTAATTTAGGGTTTCTAATTACTCCCCTCAAAATTAAAGTTTATGGACTAAGAACACATGCGTTTAAAACTCAATGAAATTAATATTAAAAGAGATCTAGAATCATGAGGTTACCAAATATGTAATTGGATTTAAAAATCAATAGATAGATTTCAAGTAATTTAACTCGGAATGCTATGGAGGCTTTATGAAGGTTTATCAATGGTGTAAATGATAAAGGTAGAAGATCAACAAATGACTCTCTTTCTTCCCTAAAAGTTGGCGTGAAACCCCTATCAAATGTACCAAATTATTCTTTTAATTTAGTAAAGAAATTAGCTTAAAAATCTATTATAGAGATACTTGGATGATGAATCATCCTTTTTGAATTTGGGTAAATTATAGTTTTTATCCGTATACTTATACATGCACATCGGCTTCAAAGCTTTACTTGCGTTTCAAGCTACTAAATTCATAATTCTTGCATTTTCATTCTTAATAAAAAAAACTTCAAATTTAGACTTTAATAATTCAAAACTATTTTAAACTTAATTTGAATACTGAAAAGTAAATATTGAACATCGGGAATCGAAAAATTTACTAGACTGATTTTAAAAGTGTAATAACTCAAATGCTTCGCGTTCTTTCACTGGTTTATTATTTTCTTGGGATGCCTCTACTCCTTCAGCCACGATGGCTTTCCCCTTCATATCTGAATTGGCTCTCTCAATTGTTTTACTAGTCTTAGGAGAATTACATCTCCCACTTCGTGTTATAAGCCCAATTTCATGTTACCCAGTTGTTACAGGGGGAGTGGTTACATTACAAGCATAGTTTCATGGTACATGCTTGTTATCCTTACTGTCATTACTATATTTAGTGTTAATCTTTCGACTGCCCTGGATTTGGGAATAATCACCAAGGGACAACTTATGCTACATCTATTCTTAAGTCTCCTAAAAAAATTGTATTATTTGAACAAAAATGGAATTGGATTAGTATTGAAATATAATATTTATTTGATACGAATATATTGTAACATTTTAATTTTTTTTATATACTTGTTCATGGGGTAACTGAAATATGGTAGATTGTGACAGTTCACCCTAACTAAATTGGACAAAGATCACAGTGCAAGGCATTTTGAGGTCATAGAGGTGAATTAACAGAGGATGGATGATAAGTGGTTTGGTTTTCTGTTTTGCATACCCCTTGCATGAAGCCTTTTTCTTTTATACTTTGGGTATGTTGCTCCTTCCTATGTGTCGTCCTAGACAAATGGGTCAAAGATTAGTAGTTGAAGTGAGTTTAAATCGCTTCAATGGCCTTGGTGCACTTGCCCTAAAACCAAGTATCTAAATAGTGGTTGAGGTCGCGTTTATCGCAATTGCGAACAAAGCAGATGCTAATGTGGGTATCACAGTCGTACAATAACGATCTCAGACGACACCTTTACCGCTATATAACGCTCTCTATTCCAAAGTAGACCACTATTTAAATTCCTGCCTGGAACCGAGCTCGTTAGTGAAGGTCGCATCTATGAGTCACCAGACACAAGTTATGTGGAAAACAAACCCTGTGCGGTCTAGGACGGAGGAGTTGAGATATATTACAGAGGCATATATCAGAGGAATCCTCTGGAGGTATATTTCATAGACATATGGTGGAGGGTATAACAACACTTACAGAGTATTATACTCCTAGTTCTACAATCATTTGGATATGGCTCAAAAGTAATATAGGTATTAGATACAGAAACTTTAAGCAAAATGAAAAACCCAAAAGTAACATATGCTATGATATAAACATTTCATCTTTTAGCCACTAAGTCTTACATTGTCAAAGGCAAAAATAATTAAAACTACTGATGAAAGCGCTCATAGAAGGAGAACCTTAAACTATTTCTACCTAATTTAAGAGGAAAAAGAGATTTTTTTTTCTTTCAATGTTATAACTTATAACAGTTTCAACAATAGTTACAACAACGCCAATGTTCTAAAATTTCTGAAAGTAATGGCTTTGAAAATGGTCTAACAATACATGTGAGACATGCACCAGTTTACTCCATACTAAAAAGTTGTATGTAAATCCACATATAAGAAAGGTTTTCAACTGAATAATTCAAAAGTATTTCACAATACCATCATCATTGCAATCTGTCAGGCCAATGCCACCTCCCAACCCTAGTATAAATGCCTGAAATTTACAGAAAAGAAACAAGTATCAAGTGTAGTTGTAGTTGTAGCAGTCCAGGCCAAACTACCCTTAAGAGTAACTGCAGCACTAGATGTCAAGGAAGGGCATAATTGTCATTTTATTTTTGTTCCAACACTTTACACCGTCAATAACTTGAAAAGCATCCATCAAATTTTAGTTACATCATAAAATTAACAGAACATTAGTGTCCCATTTCAAAAGGTCATTTGCAATATTCACAAGACGATCAGCAAGTATGACATTAGTGTCCCATTTCAATATAAGTGTGCAAAAGCCCTAGAGAGGAAAGAGTGAAGAACAGAACATTTAGCCAGAACATTTAGCGATATCTAACTTTATCTACCATCTTGACCATCTATCAGCTTCAATAGTCTAACAAGTTCATAAAACGACTTTTTTTCATCTCCAATTTCCTCCTTTCCCTTCTAAATTATTTCTAGAAGAGCAAGAATAAAACCAAGTAAAGTTTAGCCTTATATTCACAAGGAAGATCTAAACAAGAACTGAATTCTCAAACATAAAAAGAACTTAAATATTTTCTGTGACGTGTAGACATGTCAACCAAAGGCACAAGAAGGTCAATACTTAATTATAAAAAACTTAACTATAAAAGAAAATTAGAATGATGACCCAAGTTTTAGACAATAAAATTTATCCCACCAAAATTATTTCAATGAAATGGAACCAGAGGACAAGGAAAGGATCTACCTTTTGCAGAACTCAGTTACATATCGTGAGCTATTGTAGAAGACGAACCACATCAACACAATCACCAATGTATCTTCCATGGTTTAGGAACTACCAATTGAGACATTACAATGCTACACAGACTTAAAAAACTGTTGTGATGAACAAAGAAGCCAATAGGACCCTTTGACTGTTCTAAATTCACAGATAAGATAACCGATTTTCTCAATTGCAAAAATCAAACATTGTAAAATATGACAACAGACCAAATTCTAAAACTGATAACATCATAGAATACAAGAAAACGGAAAACAACTCCTTATATAACAATATCAGCATAATTTTGCCATTCGAGAGGCTTCCACAAAATAACCGTTTTCATCATTTTTTTAGGTAAAAGATGAATAATGATTAAGTCATCAAAACAAAATATTAGAAGCCCTGAGTGAACAAACCCCGAAAATTCTAAACAAGAACTTATACATATTAGGTATCTATCTTTACATAAAAATGAAGTGGAAAAGGATACTGAAAAGGCAACGTTCCCACCAATCCAACATGTAGAGTCCGAAGGTGACATTGTAGAGATAGATCTTACGTTGAACCCAGTTCATATCTCTAAACCCTATAAACAAATGTAAATAGATGCCTGGAAAATTTATTGCAGACACAAACAATGATCAATAATCCAATAGAATAAAATAATACAAACTTACGCAGAAAGAAATTACGATTACGAAATCAGTTAAAAGATGTTGCTCAAATAATCTTAACTTATAATTCAATTTCTATCAGATGTAAATTATTTTTTCTCAATACAACGCCATGAAGCAAACATGATTATAATAAAGATGCGAGGAAAACTCGATAGTTCAATTTCCGAACATAATTGATATTGTTTACTTGACGATGCTATAAACCAATCAAGAGACATAATAATTATTCAAGGAAACAAAGACTGAAATTATGCCGAACCACAACAAAGTAAAATCATGAGCAGTAAAAATGAATATTGAACGATATTTCAGATGCATCCACGGATAAGGAGCTTAGGTAAAAAAAATAAAAAGCAGGGATTGAAGGAATTCTAAGCTAATTTCAATAAAAAAATAGCTTCAGATTTCTTGAACAACTAGACAAAAAAATAGAACAAAATATTGAGGATGAAAGGAATCAAAAGATAACCTCAACGATGCAGAAGGCGTCGAAGGCAACGCTAACGACGGTTCCGGTGGTCGGATCGAGAGAGTGGAGCCCCTATGAGATTTGCTAAGCCGAGGAGAGAAAAGGAAGAGAGAATTTTGGCCTTCAAGTCTTTTATGGTCGAAGAAGGCAGCGGATACTTTTCTTTTGGGCAAACTTCATCCGAGGTTACTCAATCATATATTAATAAAAAATAGGTAACTTGTTTTCTAAACATTATTATTTAATCACTTAATTAAAATATTATTACAAATAAATCACTGGTAATGAAATATTACAATATTAGACATAAAAGTGGTGTTTTCAGATATAATAATAATTATAGTATCTAAAATTTAAACACTTTATTAATTTTTTTCTGATTTAAAACAATTGAATAAATTTAATCATTCATATTTTAGATAATCTATTATTGTTCTTCTCTCATAAATATTATTATATTACTATCATGATACTTTTATAGTATAATAAAAATTTAATAATTTTTTTATTATTTTATAATATAATATTTTTATTCAATTATTACTTTTAACCGACATACATTTTTCATTTGACAATAAAATAATTAAATTAATTTAAAAAAATTAAATAAAAATAGTTAAATTTAAATTAAAAGTAAATTGATAGGATGCATAAATTTTGACTATTAAAATTATTATTATAAGAAAGCACATTATATATTTGTTTAAATCTTAGCGCAAATGATTTATTTGTAATAATTTTTTAATTGAGTGATTAAATTGAACTTTTAGAAAAAATGGCCCATTTGTTACTAAATACAAAATTGAGTGACTTGGTATTAATTTACCCTTTTATTTTTATAAAATGACGGTTTTTCCATTTATTGTGTAACGTGTCAGTTACCAATTTGTTATAACGGTAAACCTTGAATAAAAATTTTATTCTCTCGGTAATCTTACATACCCCGAATCAAACAGCCCACTTCCCCTCCCCCCTTCTCTAAGCAGTAACAGTTAACCTTCGACATTTCGTTAAATCTATCATCTCTCTGTTGGGAAAAAATTAGGGTTTCAAAAATTTTGAAGCAGAGATCGAAAGCCAATGGAGAGTGCATTAGCAAACGCCTCGGCGATTGTAGATCAGAGGCAGAAAATCGAGCAATACAAGCACATTTTGTCAACCGTTTTCTCATCGAACGATATCGTTCAAGCCAAGAAATTCATCGATCATAGTAATCGTTTTACCTTTTCTTGCCTTAAAGGTTGTTTAGAGTCTTTTAAGGTTTAATATTTTTTTTCAGTGTTGTCGGACGATGTTCCACTGGTGGTATCAAGGCAGCTCTTACAGACTTTCGCACAAGAGTTAGGAAGATTGGAGCCAGAGGCACAAAAGGAAGTTGCGCATTATACCCTTGCTCAGATTCAGCCTCGTGTCGTTTCATTCGAAGAACAGGTTCCTTTTATTTGATTGCTTACCCTTTTAATGAAAGTTACTTGAAAATTTGTTCTATAATTCAAAATAAAGCGTTTTTGAAGATTTAAATATCAGATTGTTGAACCTTTTTCCGTTGACGAGATGATTTGATTGAAAGATGAATTCGTTAATTTATATTTTTTTCAAACAGTTATTGTTCTTCTTCTTTTCCTCTTATGGTAAAGTTTTTCTCATGTCGTGGCTTCTAGTTTGCTTGGAATTCGTTTTGCAAAACAAGGAATAGTTTTTTTTTTGTGTGTGTGTTTTAGTTTTCTGTGGATAAGCTACAAATCAGCTTACGAAATCTGGATGGTTGTTAAAAAAAGCTGTGTACTTTGCATGAGTTCTGTAGGTGCTTATTATTAGAGAGAAACTTGCTGAGTTGTATGAGTCAGAGCAGCAGTGGTCAAAAGCAGCTCAGATGCTGAGTGGGATTGATTTAGACTCTGGAATGAGGTCTGATAGTAAGTTCCTTTTAATTTTACGGTGAAGGGTGTAGAACATGTTCTTTTGTTCATATTGATGATGCTTATCTGTTTTTGATATTACTATCAGGGTTATTGATGATACCTTCAGATTGTCAAAGTGTGTCCAAATTGCCCGTCTCTATCTTGAGGTATTGGATATTTTTAATTGAATGCCAGAATTATATAGGCAAGTTTGGATGTGTTAGAACGGCAAGAAGTAATTCGGTTACTTATTCAATTTCTGACATGTAAAATCAATGTTGAAAGGTGACCCAAAACAATTGCTTGAGTATTTTACAGGATGATGATTCCGTTAATGCAGAAGCTTTTATTAATAAAGCTTCATTCTTGGTTAGCAACTGTCAGAATGAAGTACTGATTTTACAATACAAGGTTTGGCATAGTTTTAGGTCAATTACTGTAACCTAGAGCTGGAAGTCAAGTCATTCTTTAGTTTAGTTTCTTTTCCCTGGTTTTCAGGTCTGTTATGCAAGGATTTTGGATTTAAAGAGGAAGTTCTTGGAAGCAGCATTGCGATACTACAACATATCTCAAATTGAGAAGCGACAAATAGGAGATGAGTATGTAATTAGGCCCTAATTGTTTTTGTAAACATTTCACTTAAAGCAGTTATTAGCTGACATATAAGGAAGCAAATTGACTCTCTGTACTTGTTCTACATCACTATATACATGGGGTTTGCATTGCTGATCATCATGTTTTGCATATCATGTACAGCTTTCATTTTGCTTGTATCTTGTTTTCTCTTTCTCTTTTCTTTTCTGAATACTACAATATGTTTGAGGGATTATGTTATGATACAAAATTTTCAATGTTCCGCTATTACAGAACAATTGATGAGGATGCACTGGAGCAAGCTCTATCTGCTGCTGTAACATGTACAATATTAGCTGCTGCAGGTCCTCAACGCTCTCGTGTTCTTGCTACCCTTTACAAAGTAAAAACTTTCTCTTGAATGTAATAGTTTTTTTTTTGTTTTTTTTATTCTAATAATGTCAATGACTTGTGGCATGTTTCAGGATGAACGATGTTCCAAGCTGAAGATTTATCCAATATTACAAAAGGTTTACTGTCTTGCATCTAGGTGCACACACACACACACACAGGCATTCCGTCATGCACTTGTTTTGCACATTGTTGTCTATATCTATCACATAACCTTAAAGTCCACCCTGATGGGAATTTTATGGAGATCAACAGGTTTACTTTGAGAGAATCTTAAGAAAACCTGAAATTGATGCATTTGCTGAAGAACTGAAACCGCATCAGGTTATAAAATGTTTGAACTAGCCTACATATTACGTTTACAGTAAAAGCAAATTCTACTTTCTTTAACTAACCTTTTCTTTCCCAACAGAAAGCATTACTTCCTGACAATTTCACCGTGCTGGACCGTGCCATGATAGAGCATAATCTTCTGAGTGCAAGTAAACTTTATACAAATATAAGGTTAGAAACATAACACTACCAGTTTTTCTTCTTGTCTTATTTCTAGGTTTGAAAATTTCTAACAAAGCTTTTGCCATCTTTGACATAGTTTTGATGAGCTTGGTACTTTGTTGGGCATTCCTCCTAATAAGGTACAATTCTTATGTTACAGTCTTTTAAGCTACTTGTGTAGCTTTTGGTTATCTGCTCTTTCTATGAGGAAAAACTTTCATATTTATAGTTAAACAAAGAAGATGATTGGCTGGTTTTCCTTACAGGCTGAGAAGATAGCTTCAAGAATGATTTGTGAGGATAGAATGAGGGGATCGATTGATCAGGTTTCTAAGTTTTTGCCTCGTGATTTTTTGCTACTTAAATGGATTCAATGATCAATTGATTTTAGGATTCTCTTCTCTAAGTAGAACCTGAGTTTACAAATGTCTTTATTCAGAACCATCATGCTGTTTAAATAATTAGTACGTGTATGCATCAGGTGGAAGCGGTTATACATTTTGAAGATGACACTGAAGAGCTGCAACAATGGGACCAGCAGGTAATGCGCTTTTGACCTTGGACTTAATTACAGATAAAATGGCAACCTCGCTTTGTGACTTCACAGATTTATATTGGCATATGATTATGCAGATTGCTGGTTTGTGTCAAGCTCTGAATGACATACTGGATAGCATGGCAAAGAAAGGCATGGCAGTTCCTGTGTGATCCGATGCACCAACCAGGAACAAAGAAACTTACATAAAGGATAGCATAAAGGAACGGTTGGTTACCTCTGGATTTTGCCCAATTTTGGTTTTTGGGATTTAGTTTTATAATTCCCATTTCGTCTATTAGGCATCATGGGGTTTTGGATGATCAGTTGAAGTGTCCAGTTATTATTGTTATTTTTGCTTTTCCTTTTTTGTCAGTTTGTTAAGTTTGCCTTATTGGCCTGTTAATGATACTCAAGTTAATAAAATTGCCAGAAATGTGCTTAATATTGGGTAGCTTTTCATGCACATTGAGTACTTCCTCAAAAACTACTACTTTCATCATACAAAATTATAATTATTTTATTAAAAATATGAAAATAAACCTAATAATATAAGTTGTATATATACAATATATTTAATTAAAATTTAGGAAAAGCGCGCAATTTTTTTGAGGTTTATTAGAAATTCAATTTAGTCTTACAGTTTGAAAAAAGGTTTAATATATAAAAAATTGTTCAAATTAGATCGATTTTTTCATTCAAGTGTTTAATTTTTATTTTGTTCAATCTAGGTGTTTAACGTTATAATGTTCGACCGTAACGGTTATTAAAAAATTTCGTTAAAATTTCATGAGGTAACACACGTCAAGGTAATGATAATTTTAAAAATTGTAATTTTTAAAATAAAATACAAAGTATTATTATTTTCAATAAAAAAACATTTGAAAAACAAATTCCACACGCCCCGTCATTCTCTACCTCCAGCCCCTCTCTCTCCAATTCCCCACCCCACACCCAACTTCCCTCCATCACGTCTCCACTGAACCGGCAAGCTGTCGGCCACCATCACCGTCGAACCACACACCCGCCGACCACTATCACCCACCCAACTAATGGCCATCATCCACACTTTCATGGATTACAAATTGCATGGCTCAAAAAAAAAAAAGGATTACAAATTGTTCCATCGTCATTCATATACGCCGTCGATATTTTGTACAAAGTTTATCTTGTTTGAACCATTTTTGTTCTTTGGCTGTTGGACCATCTGTTAATAATACAAATTCTTCAGTTAAGTTGTAACATTTTAGTTCTGCTCTTGCTTGTCCAAGACATCGTTGAAGACGGAACGGGAGAAGAGGAGGTAGGGAGGCTGGGTGTGGGGTGGGGTGGGAAACTGCAGTGGGAGGGGATTTTTTTTTTCCTGAAAAAAATATTTTACATTTTTAAAAATAAAAATTTTAAATTTATCAATGACATGTATTACTTAATGAAATTTTTTAACCGTCATTACAGTCAGAGCATTTAAAATTATAATGTTTGTAACGTTAGACCGAAAAAAAATTTAGACACCTACATAAAAAAGAGTATAGTTTGAATATTTAGTTTTATATTAAGTTATATAAAATATGTGTCATAACTATATCATTTTTTTCATTTAGATGCCTAATTTATTTTTTGATCAATTTAGATGTCTATTGTTACAACATTATCAGTTTAAGTGTTTCAACCGTAATGTCTGTCAAAAAATTTCGTTAAATGACATGTATACTTGTATGATGATAATTTTTAAGATTTTTTAAAAAATAAATTATTATGTTTAAAAAATATTTTTTTAAAAACTAGCCCCCTCCCACTCGCGGCCCCGCTCCCCCCAACCCCCTCCCGTCCGGCCGTCCCCTCCCCCTCAGGCATATTTACGTCAATTTCTCCCTGACATCCCACATTTTGTGATTAATCATGATTTGAATATGTTTTGTTGAATAATCTAGAGAGTCTCGTTACAAATATACTGGCTAAGCTTTTTATTTCCTTTTGATTTGATCTCAAACATGAAAGCAGTTTGTTCAAAATGTATATAATTCAAAACATGCAAATGGATAAATATTGATGAAAAAGAACGAATCACATGTCCAAATCCCAAGTACTCTCTGCAAATATTTTAGGCACCTTAGATTCTCCAGCCAGATTGACGGTTGCTGAGATCTGAAGACAACCAGACAAGGATTAAAGTAGACAAAATAGTACCTTCATAATCAACATTAAAAATAAATGTCTCTCCCTTGTTCCCATATGTAGCGGGATAAAGGGGAGGTAAGATAGTAGGCTGCCCCCCAACACCAGGTTGAGAGCAGCTTCCGTAGAATACCTCCGAATTATGAAATACCCTCCGTGATACACGATCCCACGACCTCAAGATTAAAAACCTTGTGCTCTACCAACTGAGCTGGATAGTCATATTATTGTGTAAATAAATAAACATCGTAGATTTTTTGTTATTATTCAATCTTAATTTATAATTTTATCTCGTTTTTCAGTAAAATAATTAAGGATTTTCACTTAATCATCAAACATAAAATTAATAGATTTACCTACAAAATCTCTTATTGTGTTGTAATTATATTGATTATATTATTGTGTTGTAATTAGTCTTCCAATGTACTTGCACTTTTCCATTCTCGTATATATGACATTATAATTTATACCAAATTTGTGCAGAAATAATGACCTATAGCTATAAGCTACACGGCTAATAACAAATATCCTATGGAACCTTATATCTGGCTTTAGAATTTTTCAATTAATTTTAAGAAATCATTTCAGAAAAACAATGGCAGATTCAAATATTATACTAAAAAGAGCATCAAAAAGGAAGAAACGTGGATGTGATTACCTTAAATTTCCCATTGAACTTGGAATTTCTGGACCACTCCAATGCAAAATCCCGAGTCCATGACTGATACGTCCCCTTAAAAACGTCGTCACATAATCTTTTCGAAACAGAGAAATCCCACACATTGTTTCCCAGATCATAACATGGCTCGTAAGTAGAATCCCCGCCATGCACGTAACTATATTTGACCTTCACGAGACATGAACGCAAAAATTTATAAAGAAAATATTTAGAATATACAAAATTTGGCTATCACTAACCTTCACGTTCCTCGTGCCGAAAATGTAACTAGCCGACACTTTGTTTGCAGGATCTAAAACCAATGCGCCGTCCATTACTGTCCGGTGACCTCCATGGTCGTGATTGTAGGTCAGCTTCAACGGTTTCTCCCCGACCCTGATCGAGTTCATAAACTGAAACCGAAAATCCTATCTCCCCCAAAAGAGAAAACGTAATTAAGATTCATCAAGAGAAAATGGGATTTCAAGTGAAAAGAGCACCTTATTGGGGACATCATAGTCGATAATGAAGGAGCCAGGTTTTTCAATGGTGAAAGTTAAATTGTTGAGCCTGGGACCTCTGATGATGTTGGCATCACTCATGGAGGCGAGTAGCTTGACGTCGCCGGCGTTGACGGCAACGGTAATGAAGGCGGTGCTCTCATCATTTTTGTATCTGCCTTTCAAAGACGTCTTCATTTCTTTCGGAAGATACAAGGAACTGAGATAAAGAGGGAGACGTTGGCGTAACCGTTCGATTTTTTTGTTTTTATAATTTTCAGTTTGCATCTCCACGACAAGCTATCAGTTCTTTAATTGAAACTTGGGTTTTTGCCACTATGGGCCTTGATATGGGCTTTTGCAAAGATTTGAGGCTTGGGATAAGAACAACTTTTAGCCTCTAATCTTGGCAACTTTTCTCAATTTTATCCTTATGTTTTTCACATTAGTCCCTGAATTTGGAAATCTTTCTCATTTTGTAATTCTTTTGATGATTATGCCACATCATTAAAATGATAAACTATAAGTTTGGGGTCTATTGTGAAAATAAATTCAGGAACTAAATGAAGACAAATGTCAAATTCAAGGACTAAAATTTACTTTATCGTTTTATTATTTACTATAACTTCAAGATTTAATCGAAAAACTTTTTATATTGAAGCGTAGGGGTCAACATCTTATCAAATCAAGTGAATATGTCGAGTTAGTCGAATTGATAAATTTTTGATTTGTCATCTTAACTCAATTTAAATAAGATACTTTAGGTTGAAAACTTAATTTTATAATCTACTAAATTATAAAATAATTAAATGACTTAAAAAAATAATTAGATGACTAAATACATAATTCATCCTATTTTTTATTAGAGACGGATTCGCATCTCTTTGGGGTTCCCGCCACAACTACTTTCAATTCATTTCATCAGCAAAACCCTATCACCATTTCCCCTTCTCCACCAGATCCAGTACGAAACTAAATTTTACGTTCCTCTCCTCGTTTTCTCCCCTTAACTGTCTCTGTCGCCGAAAACTCTTCTTTCTTTCAGTTCAGGTCAGTTGACGCACAATATTTTTTTATAAAATTTTCCCGCTTAATTTGACTAATTGTTATCCTTCAGTGTAACGCCTTCAATATTTTTTCCCCTTTTTATTTCTGGATTGGATTGAAGAAATGGGAATTTCTATTTTCAGGGAGAAAAGTTAGATTAAGCTAGTTATTGCGAAGTTAGTGGTTTTCCATAATAATGAATAGTTTACTCAAGCAATGGAAAATTGAACCTAGTTTGAACTTAGGTCAGTAACAACGATACTATCTAACGGAGGCAAAGAAGCTTGACCCATTAAACGTGGTTCAATTGCGAAGTCATGGAATGTGGATACTTGTGGGCGACCAGAGCTCAGGTTCAGGGTAATCATGGATGTAAACAATTTAAGGGAGATGGTCCATCATAATCAGGTTCCAGAATTTTTTCCGAGGGATGACTTGAAGAACCCGCCTACCAAATGTCATGTGGTCGGGGTAGAGACCTCAGGGTCTTTCATGAGAGGAATGAAAATCAAGGGTGAACCTGAAGATTTTGACTGCAACATTGATGAAGATGATTTTAGCTTGGACAATACGATGTTGAAACGGATTTCGGGTCAACGCAAAACAAAGAAAAGGAAACGCTTGGATTTTGTTGGTTTGGGTAAAGAAACTGTGGAAATCTACTCCAGTGTGAAACAAAAGTTCCCTAATTTTCAGAACATAGATAACAAATATGATTTTCAAGAGCCTCTCTTCAGTTCGAAATCTAAAATCTTAAAGAATATTAAGAGCTGCAATGATGATTTGCCACAACTAAATCAGGATTGGCCTGCACCTATTGATGTCAAAGTTGAGATTCCTGAAACTAAGGTGAATATTTTGAAGACCGGTGTGCCTTATCCTATGAGGGAACCTCAATACTGTTCTCTTAACAAAGTATCCTACGAGTATATGGAAAATTCTGAGAACAAGCTTGACGTGGGGGTTTCTGGTTGTGAAACCTTACTGGCAGACAATTCACAAACAGTAAAGGAACCTCAATATTGTTCTCTTAATGAAGTGTCCTATGAATATAGGGAAAATTTTGAGGCCAAGTTTGATGTGGGGGTTTCTAGTTGGGATACTGTTGTGGTACAGAGTCCAGAAATAATAAAGGAACCTCAGTTCTGTTCTTTTAACGAAGCCTCCTACGAATTTATGGAAAATTTTGAAACCAAGTTTGATGCGGGTGTTTCTACGTGGGAGATTGTACAGGTACACAGTCCAGAAACATTAAGTAATGAATTTTCTAACTTTTCAAGATATACGAAAGAAGATCATGATGTCTCCTCAGAACTAACGTCCCAAACAAATGATTATAGAGGTGATGTTCATGATAGTTACCAAAACGAGTCTCACAAGCGAGAGATGCCATGGCAGACAAGCTGCTACAATTTGATTCAAGTTCCTGAGACAACCATTGCTTCTGGTATGGAAACACGGGTTACATTTCCCCCCATAAAGTGCAGTGTTTCAGATGAGGTATCTTATGAATATACTGAAGATTATCCTAAATTTGGTGCTGGGTTTTCTGGTTGTGAGACTGTAAAGGTAGACAGTTCGGAAATGATCAGCTATTATTTTTCAGACTTACAAGAATTTGGAAAAGAAAGTTATACAGTAGACCCGCTAGCCTTTGCTGTTCCCTCAGAGTCAGTATCACCAACCAAGGATCATTGTACTGATTTCCATGATAGCCTTAAAGGTAATTCTTCGGAGCACAAGATGACTTCACAAACCTGCAATTATGGCCGAGCTGAAGTGCCTGGGCTGGACAGTGATAATTGCTCCCAATGCTTGGAACATAACAATAAAGATAGTGCATGCTTCTTAGAGAGCAGTACACATGACTGGTCTTCTAATATCAGAAACGTTGCCATCAGTCCTACCAGTGACAATAGCTTGTATCAGAGTTCATCATGCTTGAATCCTGAAAAACATTCAGGCCTTGATTCTGGTTATTCTTCTTCATTAAAAAAGCAACCCTCGGCACCAGCCCTTATAACAAGTAATTACTTTGATGCTTCTGGTAAGCCATTAGCATCACCAGGACCTCAAGATTATCATCAAATTAAGCATCAGCATCGTGCTCAAAGGCTTCACTTAAGAAGAAAGGTGTTCAAAATATGTTGGATTTTGATTAAGTGACTACTTTTGTTCTTTTTAAGCGTTCTCTAACTAAATTCTTTGACTTTCAGGTCATTTCTCCAACTTCTCGAGAGAGGCTTTGTCGGGCTATGGGGTTAACTGGGTTGGACGAAAACGAATGTCATCGTAAGTTAACAAAAGTTATTAAATTGGGATGTTAACTTTCTTTATGCAGTGCCTTTTAAATTGGTTTTCATGATATTGAAACTCTTATTAATATTATTTGATTGCTTCACCATAATATATGGAACAAATAAGTGGTAGCCTGGTAGAATTCCTATGCTTGAGTAAAACTGAGCTGGGGAGAAGAATTATCAGAATGAAATTGGTCTATGAAAATCGTTGTTATTACTCTCTTTCATGGTTTATTCAAGCAACTTAAGCTTTTGTAGCAAAAACTTTACCGTGTCTAATGTATAGAATGAGATTTTCTTGATATTATGTTCAATTTGTTCTTTCCACATTGTTTATGTTCATTCTCAAACAGCTTACATCTTTTGGCTTTAAAATTATGAGTGCAAGAGTAATCTAAAGCCAAACCATGATTTTTGTATTCAAATGCTATAAAATATTATGAATCACCAATTTTGGTAATGGAGCCTAGTTAACTTTTCCCTTTGCATTCCATATCTACTTGATGCTCAGTGGGATTTTATTCTATCAGAATGTAGGGGTAAGCTTTGTTTTGGGAAGTATGCCAATCAAAGGATTTTAAGAGTTCAAGGGCTTGATGGGTTCTGGAGGGATGGAGTAACTATCAAACCAAAATCAACCATGAGTAAAGAAAAACAAGATGAGAAAGGGTCCCCAACAAAAGGCATTCTCAAGGTTAATCATCCTTCTCAATGCCGTACACAAAACGTGATAGCATTCACACAGGGGCAAATGCAGGATTTCAAATCTTTAGCAACGAAACTCACAACAGAGTTAAAGTCGATGAAAGACTTTGTTAAGGGAAAGTTTCGCTTACAGTCGGAGGCCTCTGCAGCCGTATCTGCAAAACAAAATGCTGAAGAAGTGTGTACTGTTCACCCTTCTTGGTTATCGCTGAACTAGATTTAACGCATAAAATTGTGACAATTAGATGCTAGGAATTTACATATCTAATATCACTCTACTATCTTGGCAGGCCAGGGTGGCCATCGAAAACGCGACAAGAGCTGAAGAAACTGCAAGAAGATGGCTGTCTATGATGGCAAGAGATTGCAATCGTTTTTGTAAAATCATGGTATATTTAAGAAGGAAGGTTATATTTAGAAGCAAGAAAACGATATGGCTTATGTTTTTTGGTGATTTACCTTACCTTCATGGTGTAATTGCAGAAATTGACTGAAGATAACACTGCTGCTCCTGAACATGAAATTCAGAAAGGAAGGAAGGTTTCTTTTGCCGATGAAGCTGGTGGAAAGCTTTGGCATGTCAAAGGTATTTAAGAACGACATACACAGGATTTTTGCTAAGAGTATGGGAGTTCAAAATGTAGATTGCGGGTTGAGTAATTTTTAGTCATGTTTTGCTTGTATATGTATTTTGAGTGGTTTTGCTTGTATATGTATTTTGGTATCTAAGTCATTTGTCATGTCCCGTGACAAGTTTTATAAAATATGATAAATAATTAGAATTCATCATATTCACAGTTTTATACAATTTTTATTACGTTCTCGTAACAAGTTAATTTTTTAAATATATTTTATAAAAATTGTCAAGAGAACATAACGAGTATTGTAACAAATGATTTAGATCTCAAAATAAATTTTTTACATTTATATTTTTAAAATTTTTGTTTCTCTCACGATGTTTCTAAAATTTAAGCAAGTGCGGTAGTTATGATAAATGCCTACTTCATCTGATTCTATTGTTAAAATTGAATAAAATAATTGTATAAATTTAGGCTTGAATTTAAAATAAATCTTTAAATTATGTTTTTAAGTAAATAAATTATTTTTTTACCAAATTGGATCTTTAAATTATTATATGTAACAATTTTAAGTATCTAGATTATTTTTGTCAAAATTAGGCTCTAAACTATGTTCCTTTTTTGCTTTAAATCTCTAAATTATTATTTTTTTGGTCAAAACAGTTATATAATTTTATATAACATGTGAACATTACATTAATAAAAAAATCTAACTAAAAATGACGAGGCTTAAAATGATTACATATAATAGTTTAATGATTAATTTTGATCAAAAATAGTTTAGGGAGTCAAAATAAAAATATATATATAATTTAATGACTTTTTTTTACTTTAAGTCATAAATTTATCAATTGAATTTGATAAGTTAGTTTTAAAATTAAACGAATTGGAATTTAAGAAATATACAATTAGGGTTGAGATAGATTCAAATTTTAGGTAAAAATTCTTTAACACAATAAAATATTTTCAATTATACTATATATGATAATATTTACAAAATATTATTATATGTATATAATTTTATTTCTTTTCCGTTCAAAATTTATTTCTTTTTATTTTCTCTCTCAATTGTGAAAGCCCTCGAAAGGCCCAAATTAAAGGCGCCGCTCCATATAACTCAAACAGTAAGAAATAAAATACCCAAACTACAAAACCCTAAATCCTGCAATCCCTATTTAAATGACTCAACCCGTCTCATCTCTCTTAACATTACGCCTCCGAAGATCTCATTACCATCTCTCTCAGTTTGTAAGTGAAAATCTTTTTTAATTCGCTTCGTCCATTCAATTGATTTTCGTCAGCCATAAATCGCTTCTGCAAATTTCCATCTTATGTTTTATTAATTTTTTTTGTTTTGGGTTTTTGGCTGCATCTGTTTACCCTCTCCTTTTTGTAGTAAAATCAATGTTAAAGGAGATATAACGGATGCGAACAATGAAAGGTTAGCTTACCAGCCCATTGCATATCTTTTGCTTTGCCTTGGTGTCAAATGGACTTACCGATATTGTTTTTCGTTTCATAGAAACAAAAATCGTTGCTTTCAATGAAGGCTTTTTATGGTGGCAAAGGATGAATGTTTATCTTATCCTACACTCTGAAAAACCGTGTGGATCTTAATTTCTCTTATTGATATTCTGATGCCATTTATTTTTATATTTTTCTGAATTTTTTGTTGTTGGAATTTTCAAGTGAAGTCATATGATGTAAAATTTCTTATGCTAAACACTGAATTCTAAGTGTAGACTAATTAACTCTGCTTATTATCTGATGCCTTTGCTTTTGTTCTTTTCAACTTTAAAATAAATGGGATTGACTGGTATTTTCGATGATGAGAAGTAGCTGACGGGCGGTCTGAACTGATGCCATGTTGTATGTCTGCAATTATCCACTTACGGATTTTCTCTGAGCTCTAATTGATACACACTTTGTTTGTTTTCTGATTTTCATGTTTTTGGAATATGGTTTGGAGCTGGGGTAAAACATCTAATCTTTTTAATGCAATGATGAACTTGCTTTAACTATGTCTGGACATATGAACTTAGCTTACGATTACTTATGCATCTTCTGAGCATTGCTGGGTTTCTATGATGGAATTTAACTCTTGCAAAAATGTTTTATTTGCATTTTACAAATTGTTTTGTCTATAATATATTTGTTATTGAGTGTAAGTATTCTTGGTTTTAGATTTGTTCCATGTAGTTATTTGATGGGTTTTTTCAGTAAGATATAAATGACAGACGAGAGAAAAGTAGAAGGTGATGGATCATGGGTCTCATTAAAAGTCTTCAAATTTCTACTCTAATCAAATCTAAAACCAAAAATACTTGCTCAATTAACAAAAATATTATTGACACAACAATTTGATGAGCATAGTTAACGAATACTAGACTTGAAACAACAGCTCATGTTGTAACTCCTTTGAGATACCTTAGAATTTGTCAGGCAGCCTTCTAATGTTTGTCTAATGGTTTATGCATAAACTGAGTAACCTTATTAGCAGCAAAATGAATATCAGATCTTGTGTTCCAAATATGTTTAAGTGTGCCTACAACTTGTCTGTACAAAGAAATGTCAGAAAAGGGATCGCTATCGCTAGCTGTGAGGTTTAGAGTAGTTATACCATCGGTGTTGGTGTTGCGTCTAAAATGTTCGTATTTTCTAAAAGATCTATTATGTTTTTCCTTTGACGAAGAGTAATCACCTTTGTTTTGTGATGAACATGGGGAAAAAAAGAGTTTTCAAATCTTTTAAAGAAAAGAATGAATTGATCTCCTTGATAACATTGTTAATGCATTTGATCCAAATATCGCAACTTCATTGACTTGTGCTATTACGTAGACTTTATTTCCATTAATCTCACGAAAATGGAGCGAGACATCAGCTTGTGATGCTGTTTACTTTAGCTCTTCTAATAGACATGTCTTGAACTTGTTGAACCAGGCTAGGGAAGCCTGTTTAAGGTCTTACAAAGATTTCCTTTGTTGACACTGATATTTTTCATTCTAATGTGATTGTTCAAACCTAGGTGGCTGCTGCACGCATTCTTCTTCAGTTAAATCCACTTTAAAAAAGGCATTGTCAGTCCTATCTGGATTACGCTTAATCTTAAAAAGCCACTTACACCTTATTGGAACACGATCACTTTGAAGTGAAACTAGATCCCAAGGGTCCTTTTTTATTAGAGCATTTAGCTCGCTATTTACTGCTTCTCGCCATCCAGTTGAATTCATAGCTTGATAAACATCTGAAGGCTGAGTTGGACACATCTTTAACTAATGGTTGAGGACATATTAGAGGAACTAATGATTGATCTTTAACTATGCGATGAAGATCTGTTGTCGGTTTGATCTTGGTCTCAACATATGTTCAGTGTCGGATTAGACATTGTGTTGGATTACACTTGAACCTCTGATTGTGGTATGAGCTCATCACGTGAACAGGACTGATCTGAATTGAGCTGCTCAGAATGATATATGGGTTCAATTTTGGGGTTAGGCTGTTCTGAATAAGGCTAATTTTTTGGTTGAATAACTTTTACAGGTTGAAAGACTATCGTTGTACTGAGAAACAGGTTGTAGACTACTACTGGACCAAGAAGACATCACAAGCTTCGGTATTGGTAATGAAGGCTGACTCTAATGTCTGCATCTAAAACTTCCTTTTCAAATGAAAACTCTTTTTCATTAAATTGAATGTCTTGAACATAGATTCTCCCATTACTGCTAAGACATTTGTAATCATGCTGGAGTGGACTGGATTTAAGCTGGCTATAGGTCTAACTAGAGGAAAGCACTGACGTCCGAACACTTGAAGAAATGAATAATCTGCTTGTTTTTTTGCATTTTTTTCGAATGGTATTAGCCCTTCACAAGCTGTTTGTCGGTAACCTGTTAATGAGAAACACCGTAGTACAAAAAGCATCAGTCCAAAACTTAAAAGGTGAAGAAGCTTGTGCCATAATGGTTAACCCCAGTTCAACAATTTGTCTGTGTTTACATCTGATCAAGCGAAACAAAAATAATTAGAACATCGGTTCACACTTTGATTATTTGAAGCAAAACAATTGACAGAATCAGAAAGAAAAAAAGAATCTTTAGAATTTGTATTTTGTACTCTTAATTGCATCAGTAGACTTTAGCTTATACAAACCATCACTTTCCAATCCTTCAAGTATCGTATGCAGCGGTGGTAAATCCTTCACAAGACAACAAGTAGGATAAAACTTTATTTATTAAGCTTAGAAACTGATAATAAAATTTTCTTGATATTTGGAACATGCAGCAATTAATTTAAAAGCAAAGGTCTAGCATGTGTTACCAACGGTGCTTGTCAAATTCTAGATATTCGATCATTAGAACCATTAGCCACAGAAACCTTACATGTTCCTTGATATGGAGCAGAATTAACAAATGTATTGACATCCGATGTGAGATGGATTGTTGCCCCAAAATGGGTCCGCATCGCCAAAATCAAAATTGGAACAATCAAACTCGTATATACTGCATCAACAGATTCATTGACAACTGGCTGTCGCACCCGTGACCTATATTTCCAAATTCTTGAGCGATCTGTCCATTATTCTCAGAATCTTGACTGAGTGAACCATTACACACAGTGAAATTAAAACAGTGATTGACTGACATAATTGACCCACTTTTACTGCTATCCATCCCTTCAAATGAATGATCATATCGATAATAGCATCTGTTAGCAAGATGTCCTATCTTTAAGCAAATCTGACTTTGAGGACGTGACTTTCCTCCATAACTTCGACCACCACGCCCCCTGTAGGGCATTCGAACCTGCCCTTGGAAAGACCCTTGAGGAGATACAACAGATCTATAAGCAGTGGTATTCTGTAATCCATTCTGAGAAGGCATCACATTGTTGAAACTAGGATACATACCTTGATTGGGAAGACTTGAAAAACCCGGGCTTTGAACTGAGGTTGATGAATCTTGCCTTCGAACACTTAATAAATTACCATGATGATTAAGATAAGTATGTCTTTGACCTAGGTCATTTGAGTGTGGACCTTGTACCATGTTGATCGCAAGATTTTGAGTTATCTTGTTGTCGTGCTTCAGTGCCAAGAAGTATACTGCATACTTCATCAATCTTAAACGGTTGTTGGCTGGAGGTAATAACTGCAACAACTGGTTCATATTCTGGTGGAAGATCTGAAAGTATAGCTGATATATGCATTGTCTTTTCAGCTATAAGATTGAAAGTACAGAGACAATGCATATCTCCAGCCAACAACTGCAACAACTGTAAGATTGTCACAAGTTGTTTGGATTTGTGCAAGGTACTCCCTCATGGTTTGATCTCTCTTTCCTAGTCTTTTCAGCGAGCAATACAAATGCATAATCCTTGTGGTGGATGAGATTGAAAAGATATGTTGAACTTTTTCCCAAATTGCAGACAAGGGCTGGCAAGATTGAAGGACTGATAAAGGCAAGAAGCCAAGAACACAAGGCACTGTCTCGTTGTTTAAATGACAAATTCTGTATCGAGAACTCTAACACCATTATTAATAACATATTGAGATGGTATTGACACAGTCCCATCAATATGTCCAAGTAAAGCAAGACTTTCAATGGCAAATAGAATTTGATTTCTCTACAACAAGTAATTTATATCAACAAGTCAATTGTAACAGTTTTATTAGTGAAAGGCTTTACCATACTCACGTTGGAATCACTTGCAGCCATTATCTTTCTGACTATAGCTGAAAACCATTTGCAGGATTTGCCAAACCTCTGATATCATGTAAACTGTAAAGAACAAACTATGAACCAAGACACTATTATACATGGTATTGAGCAACAGAAGATGGTGTCTTGTATAAACAAATGGGTGATCTGCAACAGAAACTGTGTTTAACAAGTTTGGGTAATGGTATTTGTTTTATGGGCAAAATGGATTCATAAAAGTGATTTTTGTTCCAAATCAAAGTAAGACACTATTATAGCATGTTAACAATCTCATTTCAGTTTGTGAATAAGCTTTTACTGGAGCGGATAATGATGAAGAACGCAAGTATTGCAGCACAAAAAATAAGTGAAAAAAAAATTCCATTGCAGGGAATTGAACCCGGGTCTCCTGGGTGAAAGCCAGATATCCTAACCACTGGACGACAATGGAATACATCTCTTAAATATCCAATTCTATATATATTTAAAATGTTTTTTTAAAAGATTAAGTGTAGGACACATTTTACGCCTATAACTTGTCAAGTTTTCTGACATTGCTATCTGAATTTATCAAAATAATAATAAGAAGAAGAAGAAGAATAATAAACATTCTTAAAATATCATGAATTCCTAAGACAATAAAAATGAGATTTTTTTATATATTCTAAAATAATAAGTTTTATTTATATATTCTTCAAATTCAATGATGCTTCCTGTTCAAAGAACTATTGCGTTAAAATTACATTTTTTTTATGTATTTATAACTTATTAATGTTTACAATTTTTATTTAGAAATTATTTGATTGAAAATAATAATTTAATAGATGTTATTCATTGGATTAAATCTTAAGTTTAATTTGTACATGCCATTAATATCTTAAGTGATAATTAATATATAACTAGGATTATAATTTATTATTGACATGCTTTTATCAATATTATAATAACTTTAATTATTAATTCTTATGTGTTATAAAAGTTTTATTTATGTGTATACAGCTCTAATTATTATTAGATTTTGTCATACTTACATTGTGGGTGAAGGAATATATATATATATATTTTTATTTATTTAAAATTTATATATGAATTTTCGTGTTATTAAATGATTTTTAATATATACACTTTTGTACACCTGATTAAAATAATAAATTTATCTAAAGATATATTATTTTCGTTTTGAAGCATTCCATTGACCTGGGTGTTGTAGAAATCAAGGCCTGATTACATGTGATCCTCTTGTACTGGTTATTATATTCTATCATTTGGATGTTGAATTTCAAGTGAAAGTTAAGTTTGTGAGATAATTCAGCAGTACAAGATCATAAAACCTCGTATTACTGATTAAATATATATTTTACAAATGTAATTGTTTAAACTCGAAATTAAAAAAAATAATATTAACTTTTATTATTGAGAACATATCCATATAATATTTTTACTTTGAATAGATATATGAAGTTCTATAGTACATTTGTTAAAGGTATATGATAAATTAGTTTTCTAACATTTATATAAATAGTTACTTTGGTTCATATTTTTTATTTTTAAGTATTTTAACTCTCAACACTTTAATTTTTTGTCAAAATAATATCCGTTGAATGAAAAATGTTAGTTAATTACAATCAATAAATGTTGCTAAGGTATCATTTCAACATGTGTTTAATTACTAAGGTGATATGTATCATATTTTAAGGTAATGATTCGACACACATCACGTCATCAAAGAGACGACGTGATATGTATCAAATCATCACTACAACCTACATCATATCAACAGTTAGACATATGTGAAAATAACATACTAATAACATACATTGATCATTAGACAATTAACGATTTCATCTAACATGAATCGTTTTGACAAAAAATTAAAACGTTGAAAATTAAAATATTCAAAAAATGAATAAGGGTTGAAGTGATTATTTGTGCAAATATTAAATGTTAATTTTGTTATTATGCCATTTGTCAATAAAATATACATGTTGAAGAACTGGAATTATATCCACTTGTATGGATTTTCATACAATTTCTTGGGGTTTGAAAGGGGAACGGCATGTTGGGCAGGTGGGTTTCCTTGCAAACCAAAGATCAATACATTGTGCATGGAACATATGGTTACAAACTGGGAAAACCCTGCATCGTTCGCCACCCTCAAAACCATCCTGGCAAACCGCACACTTCATAGACGACGTCGTATCTACCCCAAACTAAAACCAAGGGAGCTGCTGTATCTCTTCCATGGCCAAACCCTAACCATCCTCTTCTTTGCTTCTTCCATCGTCTCCATGGATGAGTAGGTAAAATATTACAAGATAAACTAAAACAAGGACGCTAATGCCCAGAAATGGAAAAGGAGGCGATGGTGGGGGGCAAAGGAAGCACTGATTCTTGGAGAGGATTAAGTCCTGAAATGCCTATAAATATCTGGTTTTTTTATTCTTGTAATATTTGATTGGGAACTCGAATACGAATCATCACGTGTCTTTGCCTTGAAAGAGTGAAGCTGGAAAGTGAGAATTCAATAATCTTCTATGGATTAATTTCCAAAGGACAATTAGAAGCAAACCAGCAGGTCAACAGCTTCGTCATTGCTTCCATAAAACAACTTCACATGCATTTTTTGTTTGTTTGTGTTAATACAAAAATAATCGCCTAAACAATTTTTCAGTGAATCCAGGTGTCTATTGTTACAAACGTTACCATTTTAAGTGTGCCGACCTTAACGACCTTTAAAAAGTCTGTTAAGTGACACATGTCGCATTCATGTAATTAAATTAAAATTAGGACTAAATTAATTGAATGTACAAGAATTGAGGATCAAATATCCGATTATACCAATTTTGTTAACTGTCACGTAAGCACTTCTTTTAAATGTTAACGATAGGTGGCTATATCGAAACCAATTAAATAGTTAAGTGGTCATATCGACTCAAACCTCATAATTAGATGGTCATTCAAGTAATTTACCCAAAAAATAAACTTATTTAATTATTGATAAAATTTTGAAATTTTATTTTAAGAGTTAGGATCTGCTTACACAAAACTCATTTAGTTTTACACATAATTAGGATCGTTGGATGAGTGAAAATCATACATAACATTACATTTTGGTTACCCTCTGTTAAAAAATTAACATAACTGCTAATGTGGTATTTTTATTTATTTTTCAATGATAACATGACATTATCTTATGGTGACACATCATCATCGTCGTTAATTTTTTAATGTTAGGTGACCAAAATAAAATCAAAACTAAACAT